AACAATCAGAGGTTGATTTGCCAATAAACGTTGGTGTTCAACTGCGTTAAGTAATTTATTGATCTTCCGGCCAGAAATTTCTACTTTTCCAGTTTACACTGATTGTTCGCAAACAATATTTTTCTATCAAGAATTGTTAATTTAATGGCGTCAACATTTTTTAAATGAACTGATCAGATCACATGACCAGGTAGCTAGATATTTTTTTGGAGAAGGCGGCGCGACATCTTCCGAATCTACTAAAACGTTGCAGTCCTTGTAACCGTCAAATAATGACGATCTTTACTTATTTTTATTTAAATTACCTTTCAAAATGATTCCCTCCTTAACAAAATTTATATTTTATCGAGTTCCTAAAATTTTACTACCAACTTTGCTATATCTCTTCGTAGTTTCAGAAAGGACTGGTTGAGTCTCCATGTTTATCTTTTTAGAGATTACTTGTAACCAGTGAAGATGTGTCTTAAGATCGTTTGTCTTATATGCATTGTATCGGTCATATGTGACGTTCACAATTTTAGCTTCACTGACGTAATCAGGTAAAATTTTCTTAATATACACACATATATAAATGTATGTTTTTGTATGCGTGTGGGTAGAGCTAATTCAATTACTGACTCAAATTTTTGTTCATATTAGTGTAGAAACCGACACACACACGTACACACACTACACACACACACACACATATATAGTCTTTTTATGTTTACTACGTTGTGTGACAATCAATTGCAACGAATAATTTGCAATTTCGAAGTATCTGCGATAATCCTGATTTTTTAAGTCAAAAAGTGAAAACATCAACAAGTGAATTTTATTTGATACATAAAATAATACAAGAAAATCGTGTCAATTTACATGTGGCAAAATACAGTTCAGGTTTTAATAGAAACTTTTCGTTTTTCAAATGAATTCGAGCACAATGAAAATATGTAACTTGCTTCGGAAGATTGTTATTCAAATTATTTTGCCAGAGAAATTGCATACTTTAATTGTAAGTATATGCACGACTTGTTAGGATTAAAGAGTGACCGATAAAAATGGAACTTGAAAGTGAAACGTCCGAACGACCAATTTGAAGCGAAAATTAATGTTACTTTCTATATCCACTGGTTTATATATATATATATATATATATATATATATATATATATATATATATATATATATATGTCTAAATAATAATTTTCTTTGCATGTACATAATTATAATATTTCGTAAGCAAAACAATAATCCGTAATGTTGCAATGTCATGAGAAATATATAGGCGAGACATCTAGAAATCTAAAGACACGTAATTTTATTCAAATGTGAGAGACTCCGTTGGGATGGCCCAGCAAATTCTATAGTATCACATAAAAACAAAAAAGGCTATCATTTTGTTTTGTAAAAAAGTAACAAAGCCTATTAGGAAGAATATACCCAAAAGAAATATTAATAATTAACATACAATTAATACCTATTAAACATACTTCTTCATATAACAAACTGAAAAAATGTAAAGATCCAAAAATTTACAGATGATATCAGCTTCATTATATTTATCATACAATTAAAATACACTAATGTAGGCAACTTATTATACACATTTAAATTACGCTAACATTTCAAGAATTAAACGTACGTTTAATTCTTGAAATGTTAGCGTAATTTACACACAAGACTTATGAGGCATACTCGTGACGTTTGCACAATCAATGAAAAGAAAAACATAGAATAAAAAATGATACATATATACACACTAACACCATAAGATACAGAATCTCTCTTTTTATATAATTACTCAACAATCCACTTTCAAGAGTAGTGTCTGTAGTCATTCGGGACTGTAATGCAAGTTGTCATATTCACGTATCGGGATAGTGAAAATAAGGCATGTAAAAATTATGCTTGTCAATAAAGGCAGTTGCTTCTGCGTTTTAATCTTTGCATGCCTTATTTTCAGTCTCACAATCTGTTTAGGTCTGATCTGACATATATCCATCCACACACACACACACACACACACACACACACACACACACACACACACACACACACACATATATATATATATATATATATATATATATATATATATATATATATATATATATATATATATAACATTGACGTCAACATTCAGGAGACAGTCTGTTTCATCATTAAATGCATATTATATGAAACAGACTGTCGCCGTTGGGGGTCGACTTCAATCCCCACCTTTATATGTACATACACCTTATTCCTGATATTGATCAGTTTAACCCAGTTTAAATATAGCATACCTTAAAACTATATTTTTTATATTATATATATATATATATATATATATATATATATATATATATATATATGTGTGTGTGTATGCGCGAGTGCGCATCAATGTGTGAGAATATTAAGTTATAAAAAACTAATCTTTTTGTAAAATCAGATACTTCAATTGAGGAAAATGAGCGGGAATATATTTTATGAAGTGCTATTACGTCAGATTAGGATAACTGTTTGACATTTTCTGCAGTTAATCAGTGACATGCATCTGGTATGTTATCAACATGAGATTGGCAACACGAGAGTGACTTCCTTATTATCTCATATACACCATATTTCTTATACACATTTCATATACACTTTCACCCCACAAACATTTCCAAGAATGTTTTCAAATGTTAACGATTCTTGTTTACCTGTTCATAAACAAGTTTATTGTTTTAAATTTTGACACAAATTTTGTTGTTCAAATACTTTCGCTCTGTCTTTTTTTGGTTTCTTTCAGAAAGCCAAGAAAAGTATTTCTCAGATTAATGTCTTCTGAAAAATGATGTGAAATGTTATAACTCCCCACCCCATTTCAATAATTATTAAAGAACAAAAATCCACGAAACATGCTTGCACCCTCCCTATATATATATATATATATATATATATATATATATATATATATATATATATTGTGCGTGTGTGTGTGTTTGTGAGTGTGTAGATAGAGTGAAAGATAAAGAAAAAATAAATCTAATATTTTAAGTTTAGTAACATGCCCCATAAACCAAGTAAAATGCTTTAAAAAATAAAAAGACTAGAATATGGAACAGTAAACGAAAAATGGTTATAGCCACCTACATATTTCTCCCCTCCCTATACATAGTGTGTCAGAAACTATTTTCCCTTCATTATTTGTAATTCGAATCCAAACAATGTTTCTGAAAGGCAAATTTAAGTTGACTTTATCTGTCCGATCCACTTTCTCATTCTTTCTCTTGCGTTTTACTTTCTCATTTGACACAATCTAAAACCACAAAAATGCAGTTGCTAAAATATCCCCCTCTCCTACCATTTATTATTCGCTTCTCATTGTATAGTCGTCAAATTCTGTTTCATTGCATTACACCAATTTTGGGCGCCATGGAATGTGCGATTAACTCCCTTGGATAGAACATGAAACGACCGGAAAATTGATGGCAAAACCTGGACCAAGTTTAACGCTATCTTTATTTTTATTTACTCGAATTGAACCTCAAGTGGGTTAGACCAATACTATTTTCTCCAATTAAAACGAAAATGGAAACCAAGAGTTAATTTATTTATTCATATATTTGATGTATACCATTATATCATTTGAACATTTATTTTCATGTTTATATCGTTATTTTATTTCCTAAACTTAGCCAATTGCTTCATACGTCATAATATTTTTCTTTCCTCTGATTATTTCTGCCATATTTGTTTTTTCTTGCCTTCAGCTCAATCAATAGTTACTGTATTTATGCCAGTTTACGATGAGTTAATGTCTTTCCAAAACACGCCTTTTTATTTTTCACATAACCGACTATTCTCTACGTTTTCAACTGATGTCGACCTTCTACTTTAAATCTTTCTTCAAATGTTTCTATATGATTTTATATAATTTTGTATGAATTTATTTTTCCTTATCTCCTTTTATTATGTTTTTCTCTCTCTTCCTCTCCCTCAGATCCCCATATCTCTCTCGTAGCAACATTTGTATTTTCTCTCCTGATTATATTGCAGTTCCACTCCTTCCGTTGCTTCATTTTGTGCATAATTAATGTCGTGCTCTCTTCAGAATTCCGGACTAACGTTGAGAGTGAAAATCTTCATAGAACTAATGTTTCATTTTTTGCTGTGTAAATCATTCACAGTGTAAGATGCTTGATTTATACTGTTATTTTATTTATTTTTATTTTTGCTTTCTTAGTAAATATTATTATTATTATTATTATTATTATAAATTCTAATAGAAATTCCCAATTTATATCCATCCTTCTCAACGAAAAAGGGAAAAGATCGTAAATTCATTCACGAGACGGATATAGGCACCATTTCATAACATTTTCGCTGTCTTTTGTAGTTTTATATATTTTTTTAATTTTCACCAGATTTACACTTTTTTCCAAATTTCGGGACAGTCCTCAGTGCTCTATGTAATTTACTTTCATATTTTACATTTTATTAATCCATCAAACAATTTCTTGGTATTTTTAATATTGCTGTTTCACATTTTCTCTCTTGTTTCATATGACGCACTTTCTTTTGTTTTTAACTATTACCATTAATGCTGTTAATATCACTGTTGATACAGTTATTTTTTTGGTAAAAATTAAACAACCAATTAGTCTATAAGAAAAACTCGACATCATCATTAGGATTGTCTCTGGTGTAATGATATTCGCTTTTTATTCGTACTTGTGGAACAATTTTAATATCTCGATCATAACAAACGAATTGTTGCATATTTGAATTAAATTGAAACCACGAGACAATTTTTCTACGGTTATTGTGTATTCCTCTCGATTTTCAGAAATCATATTAAATTGTTTTAAGATTATTTTGGGATTTTATTATCCAATTTCTATGTAGTGAAATTATTCCTTCAAATCAGAGAAGACGTAAAAAAATCCTCTAAACCAAAGAACTACAAGAATATAATAAAGATGCGTATTCTTCAAGCGTGACTCGGAGAAAATATGCTTAAATGTCTAATTCTCTGGCATGATTGGAATTAATTAACAAAAAGAAAAAACGAAATAATTATTATTGCATGTCAAAAAGCATGCAGAGGAAAATAACATATGCAAGACATGAAAAATGGAAAACAGAGTCATATCAAAGCATACATACACATAAATAGATAGATAGATAGATAGATAGATAGATAGATAGATAGATAGATAGATAGATAGATAGATTTGGCAAAAAATCGGGTTAAAATAGATATTTATTATATTATAAAAAAATGAATTTCCTCTTGAAAAATTGCATTATTTCAAAGCAGTGAGATTTCGGAATTTAAAGTGTATCTTGTTGAATTATATTTTAAATAAAATTATTTTTCTGTTAAATATTGGTCTTCGTGAACTTGTACAGTGCTTGCAGTTGTTCCATTTAAATTTATTCAGAATATTTTATTATTATTCAAGATCTCTATCGTAAAACTCTTGTTGTCTTCCTTGAGCCAGCCTGACCACCCTCCTTCGAGCTCTTCGTCAACAAGATATTGCTGCTCAATGGAATTCTTCTTTTCTTGACCATTCTCTGTAAACCCTAGTAAATTCCTAACAGATCAACAATTTTTGAAATATTCAAATCGTAACTCTAGTATGAATAATCATGCCTCGTTCAAAGTCACATAAATTACATTTATTTCTCATACTAATGTATGAATAGAAATCAAATAAAATTCCATGTTTCTTCGGCTATTCTATGGCTATCTCCGTTAAATTGGCTGATGAGAAATTGGCATAAAACAGAAGTTGTTTACATGTACTCAACTAAGAGGCCATTGAGTGTTGGACATCAATTGGCAGCCGTACATCAACCACAAAAGTCCTTCAGCGCACAAACATAGCCAGCATAGAGAAACTCCGTAATCAAATGCACTGGACAGGTCAACTAACACGTATGGAGGATGACAGATTTTCCAAAAGGAGTTTCCCTGGTGAGTTGGTACAAGGTAATGGACTCTCTCTTAAACCCCCAAAATGTTTCAAGGATGTAGTTAAATGTAAACTAAAGACTCCAGGCGTTAATGTTGAATACTGGGAAAATCATTGGAGATAGATCTGGTTGGAGAAGTGAATTGAATATTCCAACAAAAAGCGCGCCATTAGGAAGGGAGAAATATATTCTGTCCCAGAGTTATTAGGACACCAACACATTTGTAGAATTTGTGGGAAAGTCACCCTCTCGGCGGCTAGTTTAGTCAGTCACACGAGATGACATCAGAGAGGTCAGGTGCAAACGCCTGTGAATGCAACCCTACCAAAAAGAAGTGCCGGTAACTTGTGTGATTTTTTTGAGAAGGTTTGCGAGATTCAAACTTCACATGATTGTACACAGGAACAGGAAAATTTCTACCATAGGTAACACAGACAAACTTTTACCACGTGTGTAAGAGAGGTTGTAAAAGTGAAGATGGCTTTAAGAATCACTTACGGGCCCATAGCAGAGCGTTAGAGCATGTATAAATGATGGAAGTAATACAATTCTGAATGAAAAACACAAAGCACATAAAAAACTCGTACATACGATTCATACATATATATATATATATATATATATATATATATATATATATGTAAGCAAATGTAAATTATATATATATAATGAATTGGTATATTTATCAAACATAACGCAAACTATTTTACATCGTAAACTCATTAAAATTATTCCCTATTTAATCCTGCAGCCATTGTTCTTTACCGTTTCTTCAATTCGGCAAGGAATGGCGGTCTCCGAATTCATCACAATTTATGAATCCTTTCAATCCTTCTTACCAACCTCTTCTACAGATTTTCGGTGTTAGTGCAGTGTCTCTCGGTAACACTCTCTACGACGTGTTCCCAATGTGGTTGAACCAACTTCGTTCAACAAAGGTTTTCCCAATAGCTTACAAGGCTCTTGTTGAATTGCTGACGGACGGTACACATGCTTAAACCTAGAAGGGGGATTTCACTGCCATGTCTGTCCTGGGAGTTGTTTTCTGTGAGGACGACCACTCCGTTTCATACTTTTCAAGTAAACGCCGGCGTTGTTCAAACTAAGAAAGCGGTCACTTGTTTTCTACATCTATATCTACTTTTTTTTTTTTTTTTAAATCTACTGCAAACCAAACCTCAAACTTCGACGTTCTCAAAGTAAATATAAGTTATAAATCAAAAATGTTTTTGTAAGAATCAAAGATGATTTTTACATTATTTTCAGTTCATTCCTGTCAGTGAGAAATGAGTTAGACAAGCGATTAGTATTCATTTTAAGATTCTCTTTTTATTTTTTTGAAAATATTGTTTGCAGTTAGTTTTTACTTGTATATAGGATTTTCTCTTTTTTATGAAAAACATTTTTGCTTTTAGTTTAATATCAATGTAAGAAGGAATTATTGATTATTGTTTATTTGCACAACAATCGCTTACTAAATATGTATATAATTATGAACTTTACATGGTTTTTGCTACTAATAATAAAGTAACAAAATTGTCTTTGCTCTTTCTACTCTTATAATTATCGTATTTTTCTTTAAGCAATATCTTTATTATTATCATTACTGCCATCAAACTTTACTCTTTAGCTATTATTATTATAATTATAATTATTATTATTATTATTATTATTATTATTATTATTGCCTGATATGTATGTTTGTTTATAGCCCAAAACTTCTAGTGACACATCTAAAAGACAGCCTCAGTTAGAGAGGCGTGACGAACAGGCTAAATTATCGACCAGCTGTTGCCTAACATAGTTCACACTTTTGCAGTATCAAAGCGGGTGAAGAAATAATGTATGTAAGTATTAAAAAAAAGAAAAAACATTGAAATTCAAAAATATTTTAGAAACAATAATATCATCATAATTATGAATATTGCTCTTTTTTCTTTTCTTTTCTCGTTATGGTGATTTTGGTGTTGTCGAGATTTTGTTTCATTTCTTTATCTCCGATTTCGCTCTATTTTGAAGCCTTAATCTGTTATGATGTGTCGTGTGATCTATTTGCTGAAAAAAAATGAGTGATCTCATCAAGCAAGTAGGCAGTAAAAAATCAAATGGCCTTCTACTAATATAAATCAAAAACCATATCAAACTCTAATATCATTTCTTTCTCCCCAATCCATATTGGTTCATTTCTATCTGCTTATCTCTATTCATGGTAATCTAAGTTGGTCTCTTTCTGGGATTTATTTAATGTTATGAAATGATTTACATGTAATTCTGCAATCTTGATAGACACATTACTTGAACCGTGGCTTTTAACTGCACATGAAATGGCTTTGTATCGAAATCTGTATAACTTAACATTATAAAGTTAGATAAAAAAAAATACTCCCGTACAAAAACTAATAGCACGCACGCACGCACGCACTATAATTACGCAGGCATTAGTGTTTTAGTGCAGTGTTACGTGGCTGGTAGATTTCCTGTGTAGACTGTTACTCCACACGAATACTGAAAATGTTACGACTATCGTATGTATGTACGATTGATTGATTGCTTTGTTTTTTACGGCTTATAAACCATTTGTAGACCATTTAAAACCGAAACATTTTGGATTGTAAGAATAATTATTTTTGTGAGTGAATATTGTATTAATTTATTGAGAATAACAATGATTTCTGCTGATACAAGTTCTAATATTTAACTCATAGCTGGAGGGAGAAGATAGATTCATACTTTTCACAAGGACATTTGTGCGTAAGTGAATGTGACAAACCTGAAATTGAATTATAAATTGCCTTTCAGCAGCTCTACATTGTACTACTTGCATGTACGTTCGAACAAGCCTCTGTTAATATATGAATTATTATTATTATATTTGTTGATAAACTGTATTTGTATTTTCCAATAGTCAATTCAAAATGTTATCAGCAAAATAATTATCAGATTGCCATTTTAAAATATTGAATGTAAACATCTAAAGTAAGTTTGGTTATAATGTTATCACGAAACATTTCCAATTAAATTATATTCTTCTACATTTTGACAGATTCATTTTTTTTTCCTCTCTGAGACCATTGAAAAGACATTGCTTGCATCTTTTAAGGGCACAACTAAATCTCGGTAAATTTTAAATGATATAGTATTCGTCACTCTCATCTAACTAGGAGGGTCAGTTATGTGCCATGCGTGATACCTGCATAGGCGATCATGTAACTTTCGATATATGACTGACGAAGCAGTTTTTTTCATGCAGTAGGCTTACCATTTCTTTCTGCGGTAGAACAGTTGCCATCCAAGGCTATAGAACCCGGTCTGTTCTGCTATTTACCCATAACTGAGGGGAGAAGAATAGGATTCATAACTTTCCCAAGGGTATTAGCACGTAAGTGAATGTAATGGATTCGACTGGAATTCGAACTCGGCTCTCCGATTCCTCACTATGAGTCACTATCCATGCCTCCTAAGCTGGGAGTTATCCTTATTTACAGTTGATACAGAATTTGAGATAAGATCTTTTTAATATAGGAAATAGTAGGAAATAATAATAATAATAATAATAATAATAATAATAATAATAATAATAATAATTACATCTCAATATTATCGACAGTCAACAAGAAATGCCATCATCCTGGTTAGTGAGTTAAATGGTAATGTGATACCACTGTAATAGAAATCTGCATTTGAATCTTATATAATCAGAAGATACCTGTCTGAATGATTTATTGCGTCGACCGATATCTTTTTGAGATGTGATTTCATATAATTGACGTCAACCAAAATAATCTTAGTTTTTCCTCAACAGTTACCGAAATTAAAGAAGTCCTTAAAATTAAACCGAACAGTATTATCTATAATGACAGCAACAAAAGTTGAATGTTGATACAAAAATACTGGAAAATGAGAACTGAATTCTAGTTCATCTTTGCGCAATACAGTCATTATTTAACCCCACCTCCACCAAAAAAAAAAAAGCAGTGAAAGGCAACGCATTTGGATCCTAAATAAAACATACACAAAACGTCAATTCTTCTCAATATTTACTTAATTTTCATTTTATTTCAGTTGTTTTTTTTGTTTTTTTTTCGTAAATCACAGGCTGTTAATCGACAATTATTATACAAGTGACAGGAGTTTGAAATGAAGAATAAGTCTGCAGCGAGATTTTTTCTTATGAGTGTATATTAGCGCGAAAGAGCCGTTTCCGCTTTGACTGGAAAAAAGCATTTCCAGTCAAAAGGGACGAAGAATTAATATTTTGGATGCTTTGCATCATCTCGGAGAAGGACTTTGAATGACGAGGAATTAATTATCTGGTATTTGCATTGTAAGATATCCCTCGTCTGCCAACCTTGCATATTGACATGGCTAAAAATGAGTCTGCTTAGGTACGAGTCTGGATCACCACTGACTTTTCTGAAACAACAGTTTGTTGTTGACGTCACAAATTTTTCGCGGCAAGATTTCAAAAATCTAATTTGCATAGCAGGTCGTTTGACTGTCGACCAAAAACAATTACTACTGTATTAGACCGAACGAGGGAGAAAGGGGTGTCAAACGCGCGCGCGCGCCCGCGAGTGTGAAAGAAAGGGAGGAAACTCGCGCGCGCGTAAATGTCGTAGATGGAATAATACATTATTCCACACAGCCCTCCTTCCTGGATCAAATGTCGCAGACATTTGACTAATAATAGTAGAATGTTTCAAATTTCTTTGAAAGGTGACTTTTCGACCGGAGCTGGTATACTTAGGGCTTGTCGAGAGAAACAGGTGTCTTGAAATTCTCCTGAACTTGCGGAGTTGATTGGGAAGTAGTATGAGACGACGGTTTCTCTATAAAGGCAGGTTTCAACCGATCTATTGAAACGTTGTCGGTGTGAATACCTTTTTGTATTTGGAAATATTTGTCCGCGCGTTTAAGAACGCGGTATGGGCCTGTGTAGGCCGGCGTAAGAGGCCGCTTAACAGAGTCGTTACGTACAAATACAAACTCGCAGTCCTTGAGCTGGTGCGGTAAATAGATATCACTCGGGCAGTGCCGCGGTGGTGTATAGCATAAGTTTGCCATTTTAAGGCGTAAGTCCTGAATAAAAGAGGAAGAAACTGGTGGTGTGGTCACAGCTGGTGAAAAATATTGGCCAGGTAAAGATAACGAAGTACCAAATACAAGCTCTGCAGGGGAGCATTTCAAGTCATCCTTAAGAATATTTCTTAACGATAGAAGGATGAGGGGTAATTCATCGACCCAATTATTATTCTCATGCTTCGTTGATAGCGAAGCCTTTAAGGGTGCGATGGAATCGTTCCACCAGCCCATTAGCACAGGGGTGATACGCTGTAGTACGTATATGCTTTGCACCAAGGAGTTCAGTGAATTCCTGAAAAGACACGACTGGAACTGTGCTCCTCTATCTGTAGTAACCACTTTAGGAGTCCCAAAAATCGAAATCCAATCGCGTAAAATAGCTTTTTGACAGTTACAGCAGTGGTATTTTTTTGACAGGGATGGCAGTAGGCCATCGGGAAAAACGATCCACTATAGTTAGAAGGTAGGAATAACCATGGCAGGTTGGTAGGGCCCAACTAAGTCCAGGTGTATATTAGTAAAACGAGCATCAGGCTCGCTGAAAGTGCCCACAGGAGATTTTGTGTGTCTATGCACCTTACACTTCTGACATTGTAAACATGTATTGACCCATTCACGAATGTGAACGTTCATATTCGGCCAAACGAAACGGTCCGAAATTAACTTAACTGTGGCTCTTTTGCTAGGGGTGTGAGAGTCCGTGTAGGTGGTCAAAAACTTGTCTACGAAGAGACGGAGGAACATAAGGTCTTGGGGATTTGGATTTAACATCACAGTATAGGACCTTGTTACTAAAAAGGAGCTGGACATTTCTGAAGTTCCAAAGAAGTGTCGGATAACACCTGCTTCAGAGTTATGTCCGCTTTCTGTTCGTCGGCGATCAAGTCTTGACTGAGTGCATCAGTATGCACGCCGAACATCTCAGTACGAGAGTATCGGCAACAGTGTTATCCGAACCCCTTAATGTACCTAATATCAGTAGTAAATTGAGATATATAGTCCAGATATCTGATTTCGAAGTGTATTTGTCCGAATTGGTGGACATAATGGACGTTAAAGGTTTGTGGTCCGTAAAGATAACGAAGGACCTACCTTCGAGGAGGTGTCTGAAATGCTTAATAGCACGAAAATAGCCAACAGTTCACGAGAAAAGGTACTGTAGCGTGACTGGGCAGGAGAAAGTTTAGCGGAAAAGAACGCTATGGGTTTACGTTGAGAAGGACTGACTTGTTCAATGACCGCGCCTATTGCTGTTTCGCTAGCGTCAGTGGTCAGGTAGATATCCGATTGAGGGTCGTCCTCTAAGAAACTGAGCTTAGAAAATTGCCTAGAGCGGTTTTAGCTGCTCGAAAGGCGTCCAAGGCTTCATTCTCAAGCATAATAGTCTTATTCTTCTTCTGTAATAAGTTGGTAAGGGGAGTCAGAATGTTAGAACAGTTCGGAAATGAATCTCGATTAAAAGTTGATCTCCCTTTAAAGCGTCTCAACTGTTTAATGGAAACAGGGACGGGAAACTCAGTGATAGCTTTAATCTTTTCAGTTATAGGGGCAATTCCATTTGCATCGACATGATGTCCTAAAAATTCTATATGGTCTGATCCAAAGACACATTTGTCCAGGTTTAGACGGAATCCGTAATGAGACAAACGTTCGTGTAGGTGTTGCTTATGCGAGGCAGCGTCCTCGCTAGCTATCAGAATGTCGTCAATGTAATCGAAAACAAAAGGGAGTCCACGCAGAACCTCGTCCATAAGACGCTGAAAGGTCTGTGCTGCGTTGCAAAGGCCGAAAGGCATTTTCAAAAATTCAAATAAACCGAAAGGTGTAGTGACAGCAGTTTTTGGGACATCAGCAGCAGCTACTGGCACCTGATAATATGCTTTTGCGAGATCTATTTTAGTAAAAATCTTTGCGCCTTTGTAAACCAGAAGTGAAATCGTGGAGGTGGGGGATTGATAACGATCCCGGACGGTGATGGAATTCAATCTTCTATAATCCACACAAATTCTATAGTCTTCCTTTCCTGGTTTAGGTACCAAATGAAGAGGGGAAGCGTAGGGACTGTCGGACGGACGAATAACACCCTCTCGTAGCATGTCGTCGAAAGCTTTTGCGAATTTTAATTTGTTAGGTGCTAGACGACGAGGACGGAAAAAAACAGGTTGACCAGTGGTCTTAATAAAGTGCTGTGTTTGATGTTTAGTTGAATCAATAGATCCAGCAGGACGCAGGAGGTCCTGGTACTGATTCAATAAATCTAAGTACTTTTATTGTGGCAAGTTGCCACGGTGATGCCAGTGGTGGTAAGTTTAGAGTAAGTGCCAAGAACACACAGTCTTGTTAAGTTGTCTGTTAAGAATGATTGTTCATTCGAACGGCTAGATCATAGTGCGCCAGGAAATCGGCACCCAATATCGGCATCTGGACGTCAGCAACAGTAAAATTCCAGGTAAAGTCTCGTCGCATTCCTATGTTTAGGTAAGGGACTTCGTACCGTAAGTATTAATACTGGAACCATTTGCTGCTTGTAGGCGGAGCTGGAAAGGTTGTTGACGTGCTTTATCACGCACGGGTAAGACACTAATGGCAGCGCCGGTGTCAACCAAAAAACGTAAATTATTACGTGTATCCGTCACGTAGAAAAGGCGACTAAGCTTCGATGAAAATGCCTTGCCAGCGAGATTAGTCGCTTTCACTCGCTGGTGGTTTCGTTTTCCGCGACCGCAGTATAGGAACACGGCTTGGTGCAGTAGTGTGCTGCAGACCCAAATCGTCGGTGGTAGTAACACATAGTAGAAGTGGCATCCTTGTTCCGACTGGACGAGCGTGGTCGACTTCTGAAGCGCCGGCGGGAAGGGAACCGACTTCGACCATGGCTTTCTATAGCTAACGTTAAATCTCTAACTTGGCGTTGCAAATCCTCCACTGTTTTTTCCAAGGACCTGTGGTCCCCAGTCGCTTCAGCACTGTGTACTGGCGTTGTCTGATGATCCAGTTGCGAGAAAATACGGTCAGCGGCGTCCGCTAACTGGTCGATTGGGGTGTTCTCGGACATAGGCGCCAATATCTGGGTAATGGTGGTGGGGAGACGGTCCAGCCACAAGCTTTTCAATATAGAGTCAGCTATGGTATTTTTTAAGCCGAGTCGGCTTTTCATATAACGAAGGAGTTGAGGGAGTCCTGCCATCGCAAGTTAGGTTGCTAAATAGTTCCCGGATTAATGATTCCTCCGTACGGCCCATTCTCCTTAAGATCGCTTCTTTAACCGGGCGTAGGGCTCTACTTCAGGAACGGCTTCTAGGAAGTCTGCTACTTCGTCGACAATGGCGGGTGGCAAAACCGCCACCACGTGGCCAAACTTTGTTTTTTGGTCTGTAATCCTTCTGACTGTAAAGATAGCTTCCATTTGCAGGAACCAGTTCTTTATATTCCCTTCATGAAAAGGGGGAAAAGGAGCGACGGCGGCGGTCATGTTCGCCAACTCTTCAGAGTCATTAGACGTCATTCTGGCTATCGAATTTATGCACGTTTATATTTCAGCTTGCTCACAATTATGTTGGCAAGGTTGCAAAATTATTGCGTGTTCAATTCACGTCTCGGGTCACAAACTTGTTGCAGGCCCGGTAGGGTGCAGTGCTGGTTTATTACTAAGATTGTGCCAGACAATTACACTAAACTACCGAGTCTACAAGCAAAGTAAAAAAATAAAAATATGCGTGAATGAACAACGAAGAAATGTGGTTAATCCACACGTGCATAAAATAAAATATATTAAGATAGCCGACACAGAATGACAGAAAAGACTGATTCCAAATAAGAGTAATTTTATTAAATGCAGGAAAAACAAGTAAATTATCCCGTAGTAGGGATCAATGAAAAGGTTCCGCGCCAAATATAAAAAACAAGATGGCTAAAGGCGGGAAAAGTTCTTGCAGAAGAAGAAAGGTTCCAGATAAATCAATGTTCATGATAATATACATACAAGGAAAAATTACTCACTGCGAGTTTTTTTGCTAATGTGAGTGAAATGTTGTGTATATATTTTTTTTCTCTTTTTTTTTGTACTGGTTCAAAACAGATTTATGACGAGACCCAAAGTGGACGACGAATTAATATTTTGGATGTTTTGCATCGTCTCGGAGAAGGACTTTGAATGACGAGGAATTAATTATCTGGTATTTGCATTGTAAGATATCCCTCGTCTGCCAACCTTGCATATTGACATGGCTAAAAATGAGTCTGCTTAGGTACGAGTCTGGATCACCACTGACTTTTCTGAAACAACAGTTTGTTGTTGACGTCACAAATTTTTCGCGGCAAGATTTCAAAAATCTAATTTGCTGCTATGCCAACTGTCGACCAAAAACAGTTACTACTGTATTAGACCGAACGAGGGAGAAAGGGGTGTTGTCAAACGCGCGCGCGCCCGCGAGTGTGAAAGAAAGGGAGGAAACTCGCGCGCGTAAATGTCGTAGATGGAATAATACATTATTCCACAACGCATTGTAGAGTTGTGGTTAGCTAGCTAGTCATACAAAACACTGTTAGTGTGTTCATTCTTAGCTTTCTGCTCCATCGACATGGTGATCTTTGAAATACTTATTGGATTTTGTCTCTATTACAATAATGCTTCGTTTAAATAAATCAAAAATGCAAATACATGTTTACATTCTTATAATGAAAAGTTGATATAACATCGAATAATAATTGATAAAACAGTAAATAAGATCAATTGTAATAACATGAATATCGTTTTTACATCTGTCATTGTGATTGCTATTTCAAAGAAATTTACCTATCAGGAAGCTGTATGTGATTTGAAATGATTGCGAAAAGCACATTTGAAAAAAAGTGACTGAGTTCCTATCAATGGCTGTCCAGAACAATTTCGTAAGATAAACTGAAAGCCAAATCAGACAGGACACAACAAAATAATAAATGTAGAAAAAGAGGAAATAAACGGTCAATGACGTAATAAGTGAAAGCAAAATAGTTTTAGAAGGAATACAAAAATATGCATAACTATAAATAGGGAAATATAATCGGTTGGAAATTGTGCAAACGACAGGAATTCAAACCTGTAAACCAATGGTCTGTGCACAAAAGAGAAGGAGTCATATAGGGGAGAATTTAATTCCAACTGATCATCGAATCCTTGGTAAGAGAGATCAACAATGCGAAAATTGCAAGATGGAAGATGTCGCTGGTCCAGATATTGAAAACTGATAAGCCAATGAAAAGCACCCCGCCAGACATAAATCAGTTCGTGTATTTAGTAAGTTTGCTGTTATTAAATTTTCAGTTAGGCCTTGAATTTAATCTTGATCTGAAAATTAAAAAAAAATCATTTTTATGCGTTAGAAAGCCTGCAGACAACGTTCAAATATCTGACAGAAAACGAAATTTTACTTTCCAGAGAAATTGAAACTCTGCCTTTACAAGCAGAAAATGTTGGCTATTTTAAATCATTGTCTACAGTTACATTAGAACAATATTTTGTAATTATTTTATCACTCATTCATCACATTCGTAAAAAAATCACTTCGAAATAAAAGATAAGAATATTAAAAAATAGGCTGAATATATTGGATAAAAGAATTCAAACACATTTTATTTTGTTTATACAAGGTTTATTTTTAATATGTACACAAATATGCACACACATTCAAATACCAGATTTCAGTATTTCTGTTTTTTCTTCTCTATATTTTGTTCTTATAAATCCGCGCACTCTCACTGCATCTCCCTCTCTCTCTCACCCGCTTCTCCCCACCCTGTCTCTCTCTCTTAAAATTTTCTTTTCAGTTTTCTTTTTTTTTTTTTTTTTTTTTTTTTGGTGATGCAAATATTTTTGTGTTGTATAGATGCCAATAATTAGTAGAATGATTAAGATTAATACTTGAAAAGCGGGGCTACACAGTCTTTCTTAAATTTCATTTTATTTGTACACTGCATATGATAATGTATTCTTAGCAGTCATTAATTGCACAGGTAACTCAAGCTCGTGAACAGCGATACTTAATATCTATTTATCTATCTATTAGAACATTTGCATTGGCAGTATGCATTTATGTATCTAGTAAACTAGTCTAAGTCATTGTGTTTGTTTATCACTCAGTAACTTTCTATATTTCTTTCTCACTTATTCTGTAACAAGTACATGTGAACACAGCTTCTAACCTTCCGAATCAAAATTGAAACGTGGAGAATTACTTTGGATGATATACTGCTTAATCACCGAATCAAGTCGCTATTCAATCCTCGTGTAATGCAATCAGGCAGCTTATAAAATTCAATTGCTGAAAACGTATAGGGCGAACGTCAATTTAACGAAGTCCTTTTCCCCCAAATACACTTAGCGCTGAATTCCCCCAATAAAAAACGTATTAACATTTAGCACCACAAGAAAGATCTTATAACTACCAGAATAATAAACAGGTTTAACGGTAAATAATATTTATACCATATCCTACAAGGTTGTATGTCAATGTATGCCATTTTAATACAGTATTTTGGGGAGTGTGAGGCTAGTGAGATGTTGTAATTAATTTCCCTCATTCAAACTATCAGAATTAGAGCTGATCTATTACATTTTGTCTGGACTTTAAAAAATAAGAATTTTAAAGATTCGTTCCTTACAGAAAACAAATCCAATTCCTTAAAAATCATTTAAAACCTATTATTGTCTTGAACCCAAAATTTGCGTTTTACAATCTTCCCGTTGCATGGTTTCAGATTACCACCCCCCATTTTTTGTCGATGTAAAAACTCAAACACCTGGCGTAACACATTCCCTTTATTAATTTTCGTTTTTTCCTTTTGTACTAAGTTTTTTTTTTTTTTTCATAGATCCAAAAGAAATATGCGTGATCATCAACACACAAACTTCCCTTCGTCTTTCAAATTCATTTTTATTCTTCTGAAATTTTATACAAATTCTGGTGTCAACTTGAAAATATTTCAGATTGATATTTTTCCCTTTAGGTCTTCATAATACATAATACAATAATGATTCAATTGCCTTGTCAATCTCCTACGTTCTTTTCGGCTTCTTTCTGTCTCTTTAAAGGAACAAATACAATATGCCAACATTGAAGTTAGTATTTCCAAATGATTCAGCACAAATTACTTATATTTCCTATGGGAAGGAATTGCTCTTGGTTCGATTAAAATTAATTTATATTTATGTTGTCAAATAATTTTTTTATCTCTATTTTTACACACACACACACACACACACACACACACACACACACACACACACACACACACACACACACACACACACACACAGAGTGTGCGATGGGCAAATTGTCGCGATTTATATTTTGAGTTTCGCGCATGCGCGTTGTTTGTTTTTGATTTTGTCGGCCTCACAGCATAGTAGGGCCAGTTGGGCACCGTCTGTGAGAAAAAGATCATCATGACGCAATTCACTACGCCAGAAATGTCGAAAGAGCATGCTGTATTGCTTGGCATTCTCGCCGTAAGATCCAATTTCAGAGTTTTGGGGTGACAGTACAAAGGATTCAGAAAGAGTTGAGTGAGTCTAATGGTAAATATGAAGGTACGGCAGCTCGGAAAACTCACTGTGATCGTTCTGATAAGAGAAGAGCTCACTTTGGTGAGGGCCTAAGACTCAACACGGAGACCTACATCAAGTGCTTTGAGGAGGTAGTGCTGCCCTGGGTCAAGAGGGTGGCTGATGGATGAAGACACTATGTCTGGCAACAGGACACTGCACCATGTCACACAAACAGGAGAACCCAGTCATCGCTGTCATTTCTGCGACCACATCACCCGTTACATCTGGTCACCTAACCGCAACCCCCTTGATGATTATGTGTGGGGTGCAGTTGATTGAGAGACAAACAAAACTCATTTTAACACCAAAGATGAACTGAAGCAAGGATTATGGCAGCATTCAGCAACTTACACAAGAAGACTGTCTAGAAGAGATGCAGAAGATTCCAAAGACGTCTGCAGGCTGTGGTTGAAACCAATGGCGATTTTATTGAATAAATTTTCTCTTTAGTATTTTAAGGTAATTTTGTTTGATTTTGGCAAATATATCTGCTAAAATAAGATGTCAGTTTTATTTTCATTTTACGTAATTTAGACGTTTGATTTAATCCATCGCACCGGCAAATATATATATATATATATATATATATATATATATATATATATATATATATATATATATATATATATTATTTTATATATCAAAAACAATTTTAGAGAAAAATATATGGCAAAGTGGAAAAACTTTTATGTGACGCATTTAATCCTTTTGGATTAAGTCCGATGAAATCTTAAAAGACGAAACGCGTTACACGAAAACATTTTACACATTGTTATAGTTTTTTCCCTAATATATATGTATATATAGCCTTATGCAAAACATATATGGAAAATTCTCTCCCTTGACGTTTACATAGATTTCAACTTATTGCTATAGATTTGGGTTCT